GCACCACAGCTCAAAAGCATCCACTCTCCTTCTGTCCTCCCTAGTCATTGTCCAACTCTCTGATGCATAACAAGCGATTGCAAATACCATGACCTATATCAGGTGCACCTTAGTCTCCAGAGAGACACTGTTGCTCCTGAGTACCTTTGAGAGGTCCCATTAAGCATGCTTAATCTACACAATTCTCATCGAAGTCCCATGATTTTTCCTCTTCTATCCTCAAGAGTATTTTAAGGGAGCTCTGGTGGCCTAATGGCAAGAAGCTGCGCTGCAATCCCACAGTGCATTTTACTCTTTCAGCCAGAAGATTCCTCTGTTTTTGATCCAAGGCAGTCTGGATAAACTATCTGCCCTCTTATTTCCCTCCATTACTCAGCCCCACTCCTCCCGGCCCAGCACAGGTTCTTCAGTGTAAATTAGGTTGTATAGTAAGGTAATTTGTGATAAGATGTTTAAAAAATCAAATATATTATTGCTATAATAAGAGAGCTCTGGTGGCCTAATGGATAAGGAGTTGTGTAGCCAACCCATGAGCAAGCAGTTTGAATCTACCCGGTATTTACTCCATAGAGAAAGATGGAAAATCCTCTCCCAGGTGACATACAGCCCCTGAAAAACCTCTGAAGGATCTGCTATGAATTGTTTCCAACTCCACAGGAGTAACTGGCTGACTGACTAGTAACTAAAATGGTGCAAAGTCAGTTCTGGTGGCTTATTGGTCAGAAATAGTATTGCCAACCCAACGACACAGGTTTGAATCCATTAGCTGCTCCTGTACCTGTTCCAGAGGCTCTGCAAATTGTAGCCTCCAAAAACACACTGGAAGGCCAACAATGAGTCTGTTCTGATTTGACAGCACATCACAACAGCACAATTCAAAGATGATTTGACTAAAACTCAGTCTCTTTGCTTTAAAATATAATCTTAATCCCATTAGAACTCGTGCTCTCTCTCTCCATGCTTATTATTCTTTGCCAACAGCATCCAGATTCTTGAACATTAAAATATATTGGATATTCATAGGGATTTGAAGAAAAAGTTATAATGAAATAACTTAACAAAATATTAAATCTTAAAGAATTTGCAAAGTATATAGTATCAAATACTTAATTTTATTTCCTAAATGTGTTAAGTAGATACATGTGTTACCCTCATTTAAGAAACTCTATAGGAGAATAAGAATTTTTAGCACTTAAACATTGATGGACACGATCATTCACTTTATAAAAAGCATATAAACACTGATAAGTTCTTAAATCACAAAAAAAGTACTAACTCTTAAATTATAATGCAAATAACAAGCTTAACACCCTATATCTTCTGGAGACCATTTCCTCCCACTCTTCTACTTTTCTACTTTGTTGAACAGATTGATCCCACTCATTTTACTTACACATTTCTTTCATTTTTTTAGTTCTTTATTCTTTATTTAATATAATATCTGTATTCCACCTGATGTTTCTTTTTTTTTTCACCTGATGTTTCTCTAACCAATGCAAGTCACAGTATTATAGAAGAAAATTTCAAAATTTAAAGTGTTAATCAAAGTATAAATAAAACTTACTGAGTATAACTACTAATTTTCTTCTGCAACGTCTTTCTGATGGAAGGCCTAAAACAACAGAATTTGAACTAAGTATTAGAAAGAAGCAGTTTGACACTGACACTCTCATC